TAGGCAAAAAAGTCAATTGCAGAGAATCCCTTCTTGCACCTGGCAGAGCTGCTGCATAAGTAGAACTGTCACATAGTAAACCTGTGTTCAGTCATCGGCAAAAACCTGAAAAAAGAGCAACTTTCTCTCGCTGTGTTGCTTGGGGTTTGAGGAGCGTTTTCTAATAAACCTGTGGCTTTGCCAGTCAAACTGCATTGTAGCTTGAACAGAAGCAAGGAGGAAAAGCAAACCTGCCTGGCACTGAATCTGTAAAGATCTTGAGAAAGGAAACGAGCAACACTTCCCCGCACGAAGCTAAACATCTGATAGTGGATGGAGGGTGCCTCGTTTATCCAGACTTTGCCAGCTTGGTCTATGTTTATTCTATAGCACTGGACTCAAACAAAGCACATGGAAAGGGGCTTGGTGTCTCAGTGAATTGCTAATTGATATAGTCTCTCTCATCTCAGAGGCAACATTTGAACCATTAATTGGGCTGCAATCAACTCTGCTGTAACCAATGCAGCGCTTTGGTTGTTAGAACACAGCACTGGGAGCCAGGAGATGTGGATTCTAATCCTGACTTTGACGGTGACTCTCTGTAGGATTTAGGGCAAGTCGTTTCACCTCTCTTTACTTGCTTCCCTCATCTGTATAATGGGGATAATACTCCTGTTCCACAGAGGCACTGTAAAACTTCACCAGGGAATGTTGCTGGAACAGTTATGGACCTGTTGTGCTAAAGAATATTACTAGAGCCGATGAAGAGGGCAGAGTTGTATTTAACATTTGAATTGTGCCTATCCCAATTTACAAGTTGCTGGGGCAAATCCTCAGTAGGTGTAAATTGCCATAGCCCCAGTGACTTAGAGGTTGTTACCCTTATTACAGTTCCAGGGTTAACTGCATCTCTGCCCCTCTCTCCTCCCCAAGGTCTACCCAAGGGCATCCTTTTTGTTCTCAGACCTCCAGCCATCATCTCTCTGTGGACACAAACAGGCAACCCTCTCCCTCCAGACCATGGATTTAGGCTTCGAGTTCCCCTTCAATTCGCTGTGCTTATCCCAAGAAGTCTGACCTCAGTCCAACACCTGCAGTTGGCTCTCTCTCAGGGGCTAGATAAGGGTCACCAACATCCCTCCAGCTTTCACAGAGCACAAAGAATACAATAAACAGTCTACGTGCATGCTAAACTTCCCAGGTTTGCCCATCTTCCACCTGGAGACCCTGGCAGGTTCCAGTCCTACATACCCTTCCAGCCCTCTTGGTTACCATCTCAAGACAGTTTTTGGATCAAAATGAGGATCATTCAAGCCAGTTCAAGCTGAGACTTTATACCATAAGCTCTTTCTTTGTCTGCCGGGCCTCTTGAACATGGTCTGATCCAGTCTATGCAGTTCCTCCCCCAGAGTGGTACTTCTATGGAGCTATCTGTCCCCCAGTCTGCAGTAATTTACCCCCCATTGATTTTAGTCCCCGCGGGAAGCTCAATAACTGTCCCCTATGGAACTAGAAGATAATCCCTTGCTCAAAAATATACATTTATTGATACATACGTTTATGACTAATCCCTAGGCGACAGCATCTGGCACATCTCAATACACTAGTCTTTTGAAGAGTTCCTCGCACTTCCAAAGTCTTCAATCTGTCACAACATCTGTTTACACGGTGAAAGATCTGGTCCTCAAAATGCAGCTATCCAAAGTGTTTCAGCCTAATTCTCCACCACCTTTCACTTTGTATGGTCCTTTAGCCCAGGACAAAATAACTGCAAAATGCTACAGTTCTGATCTGTTAGGCCTTTGACACCTACTTTGAGCAGACAGAAATGACCATTCATGAAGCAAGGCCATGGAGAATCAGCTTCCAGGTCTTTAGCAGTTATACCATATAAGTTACACAGCTAGATGGCAAAAGCTTATCCATATTCCAGCCACCTGGATTCTCTGAAATTTTTTTTCAGATCTGATTCTTATTACATGGATGTCCAATTAGTATTATCTAAGTATTGACATGCTCCTCCTTGTTATGATGTCTGAGCCTCTTACAATCAATGGATTTTATGCCACAACACCCACTGTGAGTCAGGGAATATTAGTCTCATTTTGACAGATGGGGATCTCAGGCCAAGTGGGGGTTAAGTGACTTGTCCAAGGTCAGACAGGAAGCCTGTGGCAGAACCAAGAGCTGAACCCAGGTCTCATTAGGTCCAGTACAGTGCCCTATCTACGATATCTCCCTTCCTCATAGAGAGTGGTCTCAGTCCACGTCCTAGTGGAAAAGTGTCAGAGCCATAATACAGCTCTCAGACCTGGCTGGCTCTCTCAATGAGGGTCTTATCAGAGATGCCAAAGCTTGAATGAGTTACAGAGACTCTCTTTCCTCCAGGTCAGGGATGAGACACATTGGTGTGAGAGACTGAAGGTCAGTTTGCCCTGCTCCCATCCATGTAGCTCTTGTTCTGTGGATAAACAGAAGGTTTCAATCTGCAGGGCTGTCAATGCAGCCACAGAGCTAAAGTCACTGAAATAAATTATTTTAAATGGAAAAGAGGAATTTGTAGGGAGACAGGGCTGTAAGAATTGTAACAATTTTTATTAAATAATTCAAATTCAAATGTAGAGAAATAACCAACAGCTCCAGTGAGGATTATGGAACATCTGTATTTATGGAGAACCAGCATTTTATAAATATGGAAATGGGCTATTTTCTACCTCAGTACCTTATTTTCTATAATAATAGTAACACCTGGCTCTCCAACAATCATACTGTTCATTTATGCAGTGGCTTTCATTAAAGATCTCAAAGCACATTACCAACATGAGTTGATTAAACCTCACAAAACTCCTATGGAGGCAGGTTAAGTATCATTAGCCCCATCTTACAACACAAGACATCATAAGAAACGTTGGCACAAAGATGAAATAATTTGCCCAAGGTGACTTAACGTGCCTGTTGCAGAGATAGGGATTAAACCCAGGAGTCCTCTTGACTCACACTGCCCTTCTAGAGCTGTGAATAGAACCCAGGAGTCCTGACATCTCTGGGCCCAGGTCTAGCCATTAGACAGCATCAAAGTGATTAGTACCAGAAATATTGTATGGCTGAAATACTCTTTATTAGAAATCGGAAAACAAGAACTCGTCTCATTGCTTCAGATAAATCTGATATGGCTCTTACCAGCATGTCGGTGTATCCCTGCACCATGGTGTCTGAGCACCTGTGTCTGTTAGAAAAGATCAGACTCTAGAAGGAGATACACTTTCTTCCCAACAGGGAAGCAGGGAAATTTACCAGGCCACATAATCTCCAAATAATCCAGGGTTTAAAATGGGATTACATTAATAGATTTTAAGGCAAGCCAGGGCCATTATGACCATCTAGTCTGACTTCCTGCATAACACAGGCCATAGAACATCACCCCGTAATTTCTAGAGCTGTGCAGATTTTTCAGTTCAGTGGCCAAACCAAAACACTGGGAAAAAGAGTGTAATGGTGTATCTATTTCTTGCTTGATTTCCACAGGCAGCTTGGCACAGTCATTAATCCTTAAAATCCTCTTGAAGAAATTCCCTTTGGTAGCCTAAATCTAATGGACTCTGTGTAGAGATTACCATGGGAGTTGAACGGTGAGGGCCTCTCATTTTGTTGTGTCTGGAGACCACTGCTTGCTACATAGCTTTCCATCGCTGGCCCTGGACTGAAGAAGCTGGCAGCATCAGAGTGGTAGGTTCATAGTCCAATCAATTAATGACTGATAGACTGGGTGGTGTTTGATGTGCTATAGGTAAATTCATTCCATGTCTCCTCTCTCCCCCAAGCAGTTACGCTGATGGCCTCACACTCTTTCCTTAGCAGCATCAGACACATGCAGATGTGGTGCTATACAGCAGGGGATGTTTCTGGCAAGGGATGTCTCTCTCCTGGATTCTGTCTGCCTCCTGTGAAACAGCCCTTTCCCTTTTCTTAGGTATTGCTCCTAACCCTTAAAACCCACCTCTGCCTGCAACTGTTACCTTGCTCCCCCTTGTGACTGAGGTTACATTTACACTGTGCTGGGAGTGCGATTCCAGGCCTGAGTAGACTTACTCACGCTAGCCGTGTAGCCGCAGTAGCGGCAAGCGGTGGCACGGGCTTGCTGTCCCAAGCACGTATCTATGGGATCTGGGCGGGTTTCTACTCGGGGTGGCTAGCCCGTGCTGCCACTCGCTGTTACTATGGCTACACTACTGTTTTTAGTGCGCTAGCTTGAGGAGAACTAGTGTGAATGTGTCTACTCAAGCTGGGAACCGCACCCCTAGCGCTTAGTGTAGATGTAATTTAAGGGACGGGCTCAAATGAAAGACCCAGATCCCCAACCCTCTGAACTTTGGGGTTGTCAAAACCTTGGCCCCAGCTCTGGATCTGTCACCTCAGCTCTGAAGAATCTAGGGTGACCAGCTATCAAGTGTAAAAATTGGGACGGGGGGGTGGGGGGTAATAATAAGAAAAAGCCCCCAAAATCGGGACTGTCCCTATACAATCAGAATATCTGGTCACCCTTGAAGAATCCCCAAATCTGGAATGCTGGAAATCTCAATCAATACGTGAATTCTGAAACCGAAGCCCATCGCTGCAATGATATTTGGGGCCTGGGAGGGGGCTAGAGCAACAGAAAAGAGAGAGAAGAACTTGGCCACATTCTGACCTAGAAGCTGAAGATCCAGATGGCGTACGGATGAGCATCTAACAGAGCTAGAGTCCCCAGCTCCCATAACTGGACAGACTCAAAGAGATTTCTCCCAACACCACTTCATTCTTTGCTATAATTTTAAATGTAACATACAGCCCCCTCATCAGCCCTCAGCTCAGTTACCAGCATCTCCCAGGAGAATGCCAGAGTTTCATGCAGGCCACTCAGGGACCTGTAATTCCAGGCCTTCAGTAGCTAGGACTATGCCAGTGGACAGAGTAACAGCAATACCAATGAAAAGGAGCTCTGTGGTCCAAACAAAGTTGGTTGAAAAAAATGACATGAAACATTTACAGACAAACAAGTGATTTTTTTTTTTTTTTTTGGTATCAAAATTTCAAATTGTTGAGGAACAACTTCATCCATCATTTGAATTTTGGCATTTTTCACCCAGATCTAATTTCAATTTACAGCAATTCTCTCCTAACTGTTATGGTTTGAATGAAGAAAGGGCCCACAGGAAGGTGAGGTTAACAGATCTCCACATTTCTTTCTTTCTAGCTGTGGTTGCAGAGGATAAGATTTCACTGTTCAGGAGTGAAAGTATCATTATTTCACTAAGGGCCTGTTGGATGTGGTTCTGCACTCTGCATTCAGGTGGGTGGGTTCCTTTCTCTGCTCATTTCTCTTCCCCTCTCTCTGTTCCTCCCCATTTGCAGATCTGCATGCATGTCTCTCTGTTATTCCCTTTTCTCACTCTTTTCGCAGAGGTCCGGGTCCATGGACAAATTCAGCTCAGGTACTGTATAAGCAGCTGCAGTACAACTGATTTCATTGGGAGCTACACTAACTTCTTCCATTGCTGAATCTGGCCCTTCAGATTTTCTTTTCCTATTGGCCTTCTCCAGAGCAGTGCTGTAAACAGGTGTCAGAGAAATCCCTTGTGTTGGCTGCTAGTCTCAAATGAAAACATGACATGTCCATAAAATGTGATCTATGTGTAATCATCACACACATGCCTGCAGAGAGGGGAGAGAAGTGACTTTGCTAATTAAGTTTTACAATCCAGTGGTTGTGAGAAAGATAAAAACATGCCCCTGGTCAATCCATTACAGAAAGAACAGAACAGCTGACCTTTTCAGCCTGCCTTCCGTTTGCACTCGCTAGATCCATAACCTTTTCCAGCTGGAACAGAAAGTTCAATTAAGTTTTGTTGGCTCAGAAATCTGCCCGTGTCCTGGAGAGCAGATTAGGCACTCAAGGGCTGCAATTATCCATCTGGTGCCTCTTCAAAAACAATATTATATATATATATTACTGCAGCAATGCACATGGCTAGACATTGCAAAGGAGCATCTCAAAAGAGGGACACAAGGGCTATGTTTGCAGTTCCTTTGCCTCCCAGGACCAAGATCTGCCACGCTGGTGGCTGACCAATTCATCACCACCATAACTTCTGCCAGTCCCAACATCAGGAGAGACTTGTCAAGGGAAACAGGATTCATGGCTTGCCATTCCACCGTTCAGGTTTTCATCTGCGTCAATTCATTGATTTATGGACTCCACATTTCGCTGCATTTTGAGTGAGACGTATAGAATCTTTAGAAATGATTCGATCTCTGTCAAGCTGGCATACTTTAAAAAAAACTGTTAATGCATTTGAGAATGAAGTGCACGTCCCCGGCAAATAAGTCATGCAATTACAGCAAAGATGAGGCGCTGACAGTGATCAGCGCATCAATCATCCAGCAGATCAATAATACCCATGCAACATGCAATCAAACCTAATCAGCTTCATGCAGCCCCACGATTAGAGGACATCTCTGATCCTTACCACCTACAGATGCGCCAGGGGTCCGAGGGTTAGGCTGGAAGCCTGCAATCCTGTCTTTCCACTGGATGTGTTCCTGCTTTTGCTGCTAACCCTTCTCTCTGTCCAAGGGTTCAAACCGGTGCTAAGCATGAAGCCTGAACTTCAGTAGACTCCCTAAGGAAGTGTATGTAGCATCCATGATCATGTGGTCCTAGAGGCCAACTATCTACTTTACAAAGCTACCCACACAACAGGCAAGAACTGACTCCCTTTGCTGACAATCTAAGGAGAGAGGCTCAAGACTGATTATTCACTAACAGAATGAAGTCCCTTCTCACCCACAGGATTCAGCTACTATAGAAAAATTAGTAACTGTATTTCAACAGCAAGCCTGCAATGGTGCAGCTGCACCACCGCTAAGAAATTAGCATCTGAAAGAGGGGAATAGTCCCGCTCTTGTGGGGAACTTCCCTGGCTTCTGCACTACCCCGGTGAAGTGGGCTAGCGAAAGCTGCTGAGTCCTCGCTCCCACTTCCTTTAATCAGTGGCCTCCCTGCCGTTGAGGACTCCCCTTCCACTCTCCTGTCTGGCAGAGTCCTCGTAACCCCCAACAAGGCTGGGCCCAGGATTCCTGGGGGGCTGTGGTCACCTAGGACAAGGGCTAGGGTGTCCCCACTCCGGGGTACTCTCTCTGCACTTCTCTGACCCACTGACCATTACATACAAACTAAAGCAAATGCAAGTTATTTAATCAACAATTAATTTTAAAAAGAATAAGGAAAAGTGGGAAAGGTTAAAGGAAACACATCAGCCCGCTCTGTGGCAGGGAACATCACAAACAGTCTCTGGAATGTCAGGGCAGTTCACAGTCTGTTCCTTGTAAGTCCCAGGCCTCCTGCTCAGGCCCTGGCTGTGCTGCAGGGATGCTGTGGGTTGGACACTTGCTCTGGTGGTGGCCTCACGCTCTCAGGCTCTAAGTGGCAGGACCCTTCTTCCCAGTGTCGCCCCCGCCCTGTCGGGGTTATGATCCAAGCCTGGCCTGGAGAGCCTCTTGGTTGAGGCATCTCCCTGTGCTGGGCCCACTGCCCAGGCTCCCCCTCCGTCTCCCCAGCTGCTCACCGCACCCAGCTCCGGACTGCTCCAGCCCCAGCTCCACCACTCGGTCTCTGCTGCTCTGCCTCCAGCTCCCTGGGCTGCTTCTCTGGCCCCTCTGGCTCTGGTTGCTACAGCTCTGCTCCCAGAACAGGTCTGCTCTGCAGGCTGCTTCTGTGACTCTGCTCCCAGCACTGACCTGCTTCCTGGGCTGCTTTTCTGGCCCCTCTGGCTCTGGTTGCTGCAGCTCTGCGCCCAGGGCAAGTCTGCTCTCTCTGGGCTGTGCCTCTGGCTTTGGGGCTGCAGCTCTGCTCCCAGGACAGGGTCTGCTCTCTCTGGGCTGCTTTTCTGGTCCCCCTGGATCTGGCAAAACTGTGCTCCCCAGCTTAGCTTGGGCCCCTATTTTCTCCTTAGCTCAGCCCCACTCTGTCTGGCCCAGGCAAATCCAGCTCACACAGAGGATGGGACCTCCCTGGCCTGCTGACTCCCTGATTAGCCTGCCCGCCCTGTCATTCAGGCTGACCTGGAGCATTGGCCTCTCCCCATTGCTCCTGGGGGCTGTCAGTCTCAGGGTCCTGGTTCCACATCGACCCTTTCCCTTTGAGTACTGGGAGCTAGCATCTAAAACACTCCCACTGAATGTTAGTAAGGGGGCAACAGTCCCCTTACACATAGATAGGTCTTGGTTTTTTCATCAACATCTCATGGAAATCTGCTTGGCGCTGTTCAGTTTTGGGCGGGGGGGAGGTCCTCTTCCTGCACTGTGCTGACCCTAGGGAGGAGAGAATGAGATGCATTTCCTGAATCTGGGAGCTTTGAATCCCTGCAACAGGAAGCAGTTTGCGAGTAGATCCTGGCAGAGGGGTTCGGAGTCCCACTGAGTCATGCTGTAGGGTGCAGTTTTCTATCTGTTTGGTGGCTCCCATTGGTGGAGGCAGGTTACATGCCTTTCTACAAGTTGTAGCAGCTGTGATCTCACTTGGGTCCGATAGCTGCATCCTTGTCCGCTATTGCTTCTAGGAGGAGGAAGGGGGGAAACACTCGAGATGGCCCCGCAGCACTTTTCTTCTTCCCCCTAGCGAGTGGAGTTTGCAAGCCTTCCCAAACGTACCCCTCTTTCCGCCCCACCCCTCATTTGCCACTTCGTTCTCTTCAGCTGTGAGAAAGGTCTTTGGGCAGGAAGGTGTAAACACTCGGTCTCACTGGGTGTTTCGAACAAAAGAAGGGAAGGCAGCACTGTCATTTTAAAGCTAACTTAGCCATAGTAAGTTTGAACATCCTTTACCCTATCTGCACAGAGTTAAGGCTCCCAAAACTTCTGAGTGAGTGTCTGTGTGAACATGAGGGAGACTAACATGCAAAGAGGTGCTCCTGCAGCAGCGTGAGGCAGTGTTTATACCCTGAATAAGTGTACGCTGACATCTTTGACCCTCTGCCTTGAGTCTCATCTGTTTCTATGCTATCTTGGAATGACACATCTCCCACCTCCTCTTTTCACCAGTTACCCTCTGCACAAGTGTCCTCTATACTTCGGACTCTCTCTCCTCCTTCCTGATCTTCGTGGTCGTGCTTGCTTAGGCTCATGCAGGTTGCCACGGGCCCGTTTTAGGCCCATGTCTTTCCACTGCAGCACTGTTGCAGCTCCGTCTTTTCCCTGTTTAGCAACGACTCTCTCCCCCGTGGAAGCAAAGGCGGGTGAAAACATGCGCAGAGACAAGAGCGAGTAAGTGAGATGTGCAATTAAATCAGGCCGTCACCATGGATGTGTAACAAGAAGGAAGGGTATGCAGTGATAGGATGGAGCCCCTTCCTCACCACCCCTCCCATGCATGGCAGCACCAGACAGCTGTGTTGACGACTGACATGCACCATCTCCTGAAATATTCATTTCTCAACATGGGAGCTATTTTTAAATATTTCTGGTGGCACATGTTTAAAAATACATCCCCAGCAGCAAAGCACTAAGGATTCAGACTTCTGCCTGCACCTACTACGGCAGACATGAATTTGTGTTGCTGGGAAACCTGCATCTGGGGACTGTCTGGTCCCTTCATGTTTGTTTAAAATCACAACTAATGGAAAAAGACGTGTCCGTAAGGCCTGCCAGTGAAAGGTCGCAGGGGGTCACTGGTTTTACCACCTGCACTGTCTGTCTTTGGTCTCAAATGTGCCTCAGTTTTCCTCAACTGAGCAAAACATCTCCATGCAAATGTGAGCTTTGTTGTAGCCACATAAGTTTTGCTAGGATATAATAAATCCCAGCAGAGGCTGATATTGTGCTTTCAGAGCTGGCTGTGCGGTGTATTTAGCTGCGTAACAGTTACGCCTTTGTATTCTACGTGCCACACTATGACGGCCTTGAATCCACCCAGCGCCAGGGCACCTTCTCCTGGCTGCTCTGGTGACTAACTCCTTCCAGGTCCAGTGCTCCCTTTCTGCTGCTTGCTGCAGCTTTCTGTCTCTCTCTTTCTCTTTGCAACTCAGGGTGCTCTGTCTCCGTGGCTTGGCTCTCCAGCCAGGTCACTGTGTAGTTTTCCCCCTTCTGGGGTGCATCAAAGTGCCACTAGCTCAGCGGCCCACTTGCCATTCTAGTCAGCCTTCTAGTCCAGGGCCAGGTTCAGTGCCCCTTTCCCAGAGGCTGGTAGGGGAACCTGAGCCCACCCGCTACTCCAAGTTCCAGTCCAGGGACCCTATCTCTGGAAACTTGTGGTCTGCTTTTCCTCAGGCCCTGTTGCGCTTTCCCTGGCCTCCCTCCTACAGTTTCTTGCTCCTCCCGTCTGGGTGCACCAGCTTAATCTCCCTCCTCCCAGACGGCTGAACTCGGTAGCCTCAAACAGAGCTTCCTACTCCTAGGGAGTGACAGCAACCTACTTCCTTGAAGCCACTTTCTGCTACCAACTTCCTGGCTTTATACCAGCCCCTCCTGGTCCTCCCTAGCTGGCTCCTCCCAGACTCTTCCCCCAGGAGCAGTCTATCAGGTTAATTATCCTAATTTTCCAGCTCTGCCTTGCGTGAGGTGGACACAGCATCACACATACCTTAAAGTAGCTGTGATGTCAAGTGGCGGAGACAGGCAGTCATTTTGTGTTCAGTTCAGCGCAGACTTATAGAAGCCTAAGACTTGGGAGACTTGGTTCAAGTCCCTGCTATGCCACGAACTTCCAGTGAGACCTTGGGTAAGCCACTTCATCTCTCTGGGCCTCCGTTCACCCTCTGTCCAATAGGGGTAACAGCACTGCCCTGCCTCACAAGGGTGAGGAGAGAATAAATACATTAAAGATTGTGAAGCGCTTTGACAGACCTGCTGATGAAAATGTACTATATACCATACCGGAATTGTTATTATTATGGGCTAGATACACTGTTCTCTAATGGAGACACTGTTTTTTGGTTTCTATGGTTCAGACTGGAAAAAAGACAGACACAAAAGTCCAGATCTAAATCCAGATTAGAATTTTTCCCAAAATTTGGGGGCTGGTTGATAGCTGGGGCTTCATTCTAGGAGCAAGACATGGGATTCAGATTCCTATGCAAATATCTCCTAAATTCTTGTGTGTGTGAATCCAGGATTTATGTTCAGTTTTGTTATTGAAATGGGGTCAGCCAGGAAGTTCAGGTCCAGATTTGAACACCACAGTTGGGGAATGTGTTTAGATTCTGTTTTTTGGTGCTGGCCCATTTTTACTTGATAGAAAATAAGAAATGAGCAGACTCTTAGTCCACAACTCAAATGTAACCTGTAAATAATGTCATGGATTTCAAGGCCAGAAGAACGACGAGGAGCCCGGTGGAACCTTAAAAAGACTAACAGATTTATTCAGGCATAAGCTTTCGTGAGTAAAAAACCCACTTCTTCCAGGCATCTGAAGAAGTGGGTTTTTTACCTACAAAAGCTTATGCCTGAATAAATCTGTTAGTCTTTAAGGTGCCACCCGACCCCTCATTGGTTTTGTGGATACAGACTAACACCCGGCTTCCCCTCTGATACTTAATACCAAGGGCAGAAGAGACAATTTGGATCATGCAGTCTGACCTCCTGCAAAACACAGGACAGAGAATTTCACCTGGAGAATCCTCCATTCTGCCTAACAGCTTATAGTTGAACAAAAAAGCATTTCTCTTTCAGAAAGACATCAAGTCTTACTTTGAACAATTCAGATGATGGAGAATACAATCATACTCCATAGGAAGCTGTTTCAATGCTTAATTGCCTTCATTGTTAAAAACGTGGGCCTGATTTCCAGTTAGATTTTTTTTTTTTTGAGCTCCAGTTTCCAACCAAGATGCGAAAAACAGTTTGGATATAGCTGTATAACGGTTTCTCATTTTGGTATGTCTCTGCACGTCCTGGGCCAAAAGTCAGGCTGGGAAGCACCACAGCTGAAATACCCACACAAATGGCTGTTCTTGGGGAGTCTGTTTGGCAGAGCCGTAAGCAAAATGTACTGGGAATTTCCGAAGACAGGCCCATTCTCTTGCTATTCGCTGTTGGGTTCTGCAGACTAAAGGAGAGGCCCATAGTGCCTGAATTAAGGAGAAGCAAACTTTCCAGTGCTTCTCTGAACTGCACCTCTCAACCTTTTGAGGTTCGCTACCCATAAATTAAGCTTTTTGTAACTGAAAGTCTCTGCACGAAGCACAGCCACCAGGGCACAAAGAAATGTCTAATTTTTCAGCTTCCTGCACTGGGATTCGATTGTTTTCTGTGGCCTTTTGTGCTCTTAGTTTATGAAAAATCAATAGTTTAATATAGAAAAAGAATCCGCTGGCTATCTATTTAGAACTGTATTACCTCCAACACTGTCACTCTCGCTGTTCCAGTGAATTCACTCAGAGATACTGACGCACACATGCCAGCCAGTGCACCCAGAGCCTCTCGTTCAGCCATTACGGGACCCGCTTACGAGATGTCATGCTACAAGGCTATCACATCAGTGGCAACGTGCAGCTCAATCCCTCCTGGAAACTGATGAGAAATGGGATTCTGATGAAACACCAGAGAAAAAAGTGCAGATACAGTGCACTGCCTCAATACGAGAGCTGGTTGGGAATTTTCCAACACGATTTTATTTTTAAATTGGAAAATACCAGTTTGTCAAAACAAACTGGTTCTGAGAAAGGGTCAGTTTAGATGAGTCTTCTGATATAGAAAAAAAAAGTTTTGAAATGATCAAAACATCTCAGTGATGGGGTGTACCAGGCCTTGCAGCCCTCTGCTGGAGGTCCCACTGCTCTTCTGCACCCCATCCCAGGAAACAGCTTTCTGAGAGTTAAAAATAAGAGTATAAGACCTCTGGGCTTGCCTAGAGAAGCATCCCAGGAGTAGCCATTTTGGGAACCATTGAGATTTCATCCTCCAGCAACTAGAAGGGCTGGGGATCATCAACAACCAATCAAGGCCCAGCAGGCTGAAATAAAAGGAGGTACCTGCTGCCAGAGAGCCAGTTCTTGGCAGGAGCCTGTGGAGTGAGGGCAGATGCTCCCTAGGCTACAGCCAAAGGAACAAGGTCAGGGCCTATTGCTGGCCACAGGAATCGAGCCCCAGAAGGGTAAGAAACCATTTAATTTATAATTGGCTCTGAAGGTCAAGGAGCTTATTTGAGTTTGTTGTACCCGGGAGGGAGTTTGAACTGTGAGATCCAGCCAGAGGGGTGAGCTGCAGAAGACCTGCATGGATACAAGCTTTATATCCATGGATATAAAGCAGATATCCGCAGAGCAGCACGACTCTACCAGGAACCGCAGCGGCGAAAGCAGCAGCATGTCCGGCAGCCACTCACAGGAGCCAGCACCCAACCCAGGCAGCTCCTTTGGTGTAGCTGTACTGCCCCCCAGCCCTGCCCACTGGGGCAGGCACCAGGCTCTCTGGTACTTGTCCCTGGTCACGCTAGTGTGTGCAAGTGGTTTGCATGCTCCCAGACACTAGCGTGACCAGGAGCTTGCACACGCGAGCGCGACTGGGGGCGGAACAGCCATGCCAGAGGAACTGCCCGGGTTGGACACTGGTTCCTGTGAGCGGCGGCCTGACCTGCTGCTGCTTCCTTCACCACTGCAGTTCCCGCAAGAGCCCTGCAGCTTCACAGATATCCGTGTTATATCTGCAGTTATCTGCATCTGGGGATATCCATTTTGCATCTGCATAGGGCTCTCAAGACTTGCAGAGGAAGGCTGACAGCCTGCTGGGGGTGATGGGAGCTGAAGAGATTGGCAGCACCATGCCTGGACATTGAAGAAGGGGGAAGTTATCACGGGTGCTCAAGGAACCCACCACAGTCCCGTTTTTGAAATTTTTCAAATTAAGAGTATTGTGGTTTGGTTTAAAAGTCTTATTTTGGAAATGTTTAGTCATTTATACTTAAAGGCTTAAAAAATTAAAAAGTCAAAACTGTTTCAAAATGAACATCACAAAACACTTTGATTGACCCAACCCCAGCGTTTTCTGGGAAGGTTACAAAACTCTGAGATTTTTGACTTTCTGTCCTGATTTGAGGAGGGGAAAAAGCTTCAAAACCTGGAAAATTCTCTCAGAATAGGAAAACCATTTCCTGCCCAGCTCTATTTAATATGCCTCATATGCAGCTCATGCCCACTCTGCAGGAGCCACTCTCTTGGAGGTAAAGAAGGGGATTTATCATCCCTATTTATCCTGTGCTGGGCTCTCACGATGTGAAGATATGACTCTTACCTGGAGTAACAGAAGTCGTCATTTTCCATCTTTTTAATTCTGTGTTTCCGATAAACTACTAAACCTATGTATTCTTTTTGTTGCTGGGACCTGACCTCTGCTGGACTTGCAGGAGAAGCTACTCTCTATGCTCTTTCGTCTCCAGGCTTCCTTCCCTACCCATCCCCAGTGCTCCATCAATAGAGTTTGCTCTAGAAGGACCAGTTATTCCTGTATGAGTGCAGTCACTACACTCCAACGATCCTGGGCGCTCCTCACCTTATGTATGTATGGTGCTGACACCCATAAGGCTCTCCATTAAGAGTCTTCTGCAGCCAGACCTATGGTGAATTTGGACACAAGTCCTAAAGGAAAAGGAAGAGATCAGAGCAACATTTGCTCCTTGAAAGGCCTAGATGGGTGCAAATAAGCCATGGGTTGCTTGCTGTATTTCAGTACTTACTAAAGACACTCTGTGCTGTGTTCAGAGACACTGTGCTGCTGAGTCTATAGTTCCTTCTGGGAATCCCGCCCTGAATGCCTTTTGGTTGAGAAGTCACAACACATGGCCAGCAAGCACACCGCATCATGGCGGAGCACGTCAGAGCAGGCTGTGAGGATGATGCAGTAGGATTTACATTCAAACAATACAGAATAAAACACAAAGAAACATCGTTCACCTTTAGATCGCTGGCTCCAACCGAGAGCAGGACAATGGCTGCTAAGAGTAGTTATCTCCTCACAGAGGTTTGTTGGCCTGATGATTACCAGTCTGTTTTTAAGTGTCCGTGTTGCTCACCCCAACATCACCATCAGCTCTAGTTAGAAACTTTGTTCTCGGTCAAAGCGGAAAGACCAAGATCTGACCTCCTTTGCCAGGATGACGAACCCTAGGTAGGGTGGAAGCAAATGGGAAGGGCAGCGTTGTGGTCACCGCTGCCTGTAGTGTGTTTTTCCTGAAGATCAAGAGGGGGTTGTAGGCTCTTGGGCTGTCAGTCCCACTCTATAGCCGCACAGGCAGCAGACACAACATGACACCTGTATTTACTCCTCCTTGGTTTTTCTTGCACCATTTCCAAATGGAAGAAAGGCAGCAGCAAGGCAACTGCTGGGAGCCATCCATCCCATCCTTCCTTCCTGCAGATGAAGTGGTGGTGGCTGTCGAGGGACTTCCTGGGCCAGCGAAGAGAAAGGAGAGGAAATCAGTTTGCTTTTCAGTGGGATGCTCCCGACACCCTCCGGTGGCAGCTGATCGCGGAGTGAGACACTTTTCTTTTTTTTCCAGAAGCTGCAGTCAGCAGCCAACGGGAGACCATCTGGTGCTGACGTTTTCACCCTTTCCTTGCTATTTCTGTCCCCACTGGGAGGGGAAAGGAAAATACCAGCTTCTTCTGACCAAACTAGCACAAAGCTGTCAAACAGGTTTCCGCTTTTATCAGACTCCAAGCCCACGAAAAAAACAATCTGGGAATATATGGCCACTGCGGGGAGGTAACCAGTCCCAGCTTTCAGAGGTTATTTTTGGCCAGGTATGAAATACCATGTGACACAGTCTTTGGAAAATGCCAAGCA